TACACTACTCTCCAACAGGTCAGTACCTGTTGTAAATGTAAATAGGGATATTAAATTATGTTTTACTGTTCCTTCGAACTTCCTATGTATTATAACCAAAGTATCTAAAATTACAGCTTTGATAATACTAATTTGCAGAGCTGAAAAACTGTCTAAGACTGAAACAAAGATTACCTGAATTCATCAGCACAGTGAAGGAAAATCTAAGCCAACAAACCCCCCTCTCGAAACAGAAAAGAGCAATATCACACATTTTTTTCCTGGATATTGAAATTCCTTCTTGCTAAATTATTACAATTTTCTAACAAGAAAAGCAGAGGTTTATCAGAAAGTGTCAAAACAAGAGTATTTTAGACTATATACAAACTATTGCAAAAACCACCTGAACAATGACCAAAGAAAATCCCACTTAGTTCCATTTATTAAACATTTAACTCATGTCTTATTCAGACGAATTCAGGAAAATCTTCTGACAGCACGGTTCTTTTTTTTAATAATTTTTCTCTTAGATAATTAAATTATTATTTGAACTCCTTTTGTTTGTCCATGTCAAAAGAATATGTGGGATTCCCACAAAACCCCTCCCAAAGCTACTGAACTTTAATATGATCAGAGGACTTTCCCCTGCTGTTAATTTTGAAACAGAACAAGTAATGAATGACCTCTTGGCCTCAGTTAAGTCACATTCTCATTGACAAAAGTAAGTTCAAAATGTCATTCATATTATGCAACAGCAGAGTCTACTTACTCATTTAGAATCAAATCTGGTGCAAAATACAACATCTGACCACTGACGTGTTTGTATGATCTCCATCCCATTGCAAAAACCATTAGACTCATCCAGGAATACTGGATGAGGGTTATCTGATCATCAATATGTAAATTCCGAAATCCTGGAAATAAAATTAAAAGTTAAAATACTTTATAATTCTCATTTAGACAACAGTTGAGTAGGTGTTCTGAGATTACAACTTTGAGCTATAAAACTGAGAACACCTAGAAAGGCAAGTGCTTTTGGAGATGCAGATCTTGGAAGTTTGCGGAGTTTGTATAATAACTGGCTATCTCACTTTGATAGTTAACCTCTTGCCTTTTTGTTCTGATCCAATACTTTGAAATTATCAAAGCAAAATTAACTTCAGCAGTCTGAAGTGGCTATTTCAGGAAATAGGAATTTTCCTTTGGTAAAAATATGACAGTTTGTAACATTATCACTGTAACCAACTCTTACTTAATATAGACAGCTTGGACTTTAGTGTTCTTAACAAGAGATACAGTTTTAAGACAATAAACATCCACATATTAATATCTTTCTTGCATTTAACTAAAGAGAAGAGTATTCAGTTGTGTGTTTGCCTTTGATAACTTTTGCTCTTTAATAACTCTAAAGATTGCTATGGAGTATCTGAGTCAATCTAACAGCCTCCTACCACTGAAAGCAGTGGTCCTCTTCTTCATTACCTGGTCCTGTTACCTCCTTCAAGCAAGCTCTGGCATTCATGCCACCCCTTAATGAACTCGTTCAGCTCATGAGGCCATCAGAAAACTACAGCGGGTAGAAAAAAAAGGGTTGTTTTCTTCTCACTTAATGAGATGAATCAGTTCAACCAAGAGGTCTGACAAGTGCAAGCTGCAGAGGGGAAGAGCAGTAACAGGGACTTTCCTGCAGCAAAGCGTCAAATTGAGCTCACATGAAATTGTATTTCCAGGCTTTCTGGTGAATATATTTATTTTTATATATCCCAGGATCAGGCCCCTATGAACATACAGGGCATATACATACGTAACATGGATTTCTTTTGGAATCCGGTCTTGGATCTTCATAAATTCAGTTACTTCTCATTACCAGTCTATTTGTGAGCTGCTTAGACATAACTGGTACTATTTAATTTTTCTCTGTTGTTTTCAAAAATTCATTTTAGTAAGAATAAATATGCAGAAATATAAACTTCTTTTTATACCAAAGAATGAAAAATAGAGTAGGAGAGCTTAGGGTGGAAAGGCTGCTACAACAATCACATACAGGAACTCTCTGGGTTTCTGTTGTTCTTTGGAGTGAGTCTAAATATTCAGAAGCATTCCTTCAAGAGTGCCCTCCTATTAAAATATATTTGACTGGTGCATATATTATATGATGAAGTGGAAGCCTAATAATTTTAGAATTTTCTAAGAATTAATTAACAGGTAGACAATAATATTCTCTTTTGACGACTCATCCTACGACATATTTGCTTAACTAGAATTCACTAGATGTAAGAAGTGCTATTACCTGGTAGCAATTTAGACCATTTGACTACACAAAGAAGTTGCCTCTCACAAAGATGATTCAGACTGGTCAGCAAGGAACTTGGCGTTTCAGGTTTTGTGTTGTCATAACCAGCATAGACAACTTCTGGCTCAATGCCTCGTAAAACACTTATCATGGGGGGAACGAACTGTATTTCTTGATTTGGAGAAAAGGCCAGCCTTTGGGTTAGAGATTGGCTTTCATCTTGAAGGGTTGCTGGCTGCTGGAGCGCGACATCTAATGTTCTCACAACCTTAATTTTGTTACACTTCTTGAATTTTCGACCTGAAAAATGAAATCATTGATCTGTTAAAAACAATTAACCAGAAACATTAATATTTTCCAGTAGTGCTTTTCAGCTATACAAGGAAACTAGAACTGTCTTCTGAATAAGTTGGCTATTTTTTGACTATTTATATGATGAAGAAATAATCATGGAAAATTCTTAAAGAGTTTCTCCCTCCATATCCTCCTCCCTTCACTAAGAGATGAATGGCATCCACCCACTAAAATTATTGCCATGAATTCTAGGTTACAGTAACCTCATAAAGTGCTTCCTGGTTCAGTTCCCACTGTTCCATCATATGCCGAGAGCTGAGCCAGATGGCTCTACAACTCAGTTTCTATTCAATGTTAATTAAGTATACTGTTTCTTTTTTCTCACTAATATTCAGAAACAAAAATGCTAGCAATTAATCACTACACACAGAAATTCCTTTCCTCCAGTTCCATAAAGGCATGTCAGTCTCATGGTTAAATTCTATTTTGATGATCTCTAATGTAATATCTTCCTCCTGTTTACTACAATGAAAACAGAATTCAGGGTGTGAGTGAAAAGCCAACAAATACTGTAAAACCACATGTCAACACTTACAAAAGTCTTCACTTTCTAAAAAATAATTTCTCTTTTTCAACATTTGTAATTTTTATTTTCATACTGCAGTGGTTTGAAAAATGCTAACTACAAAAAAAGAATTTAAATACTTTCCCGTAATAAGCACAGATACTACGTCTGGTATGGCTATGCAACCCTACGGAGCTCTAGGTAGCAAGTCTTCTAATTTCTTTCATGGAAACAGTCTGGCTGTGCATCATATACGCACAGAAAATCAAACCTCCAGTACCATATTGCTATATTACTTCTTTCAATAAAAAGACAAATCCTGCATGGAACACATCCACTTTAAATAGGCTATCAAAGGTGATGAAAAACCTGTTAGATCATTAGTTCTGCAAAAAAAAGTTTTGCTTAACGAAAAAAGGGTGTCAAAACAAATAAGCAATGCAATAAAGATACTGATACTTATGGTCTGTTTTAGACGACAGTGGGACAGTAAGAGAGATGCAGTGATGGCAAAAAAAAAAGGGTAAGTCATTCAGGTAACAAACGAAAAAGTTTACATGTTTCAACCTTAAAGACAATAATAAGGAAGCAGAAGGTTTTGCTCAAAAACAGAGACCAAAAATCACGTGGATATTTTTACTTTTTGAGGTGTTGCATACTTTAACAATAGTAGAAAAAGAGATGCACCAAATTTCACTGAATGAAGAGAAAATCCATGCCTATCAAACTGTTGAACCACTGAGAAACTGCATTATAAAACTGCAATATGCAAAAAACCACTCTAAAATTACAGGAGGTGAAAGCTAATAGAAGCATAATAGCTTCCATTTGGTTGAACAGATAATTTGGTTGAAATAAAATCCAGTTTCTAACCTGCATATCAAGTTGTCTTTTGAAAAATTGTACTTTTTTTTACAAGTGAAAGATTAGACAAGGGAACTTATCACATCCTAAAGGAAAGGGACAAAGACTTCTGTCTCTTACTGCCTTCTTTTTTCATTTCAGTTAAAAGTAGTGCTGCGCCGTCAGAATGCAACCAGTGCGCCAAAGAAGCCCTAGGACACTGGAGCAGGGAAGCACACCTAAACTTCAGCACATGCTCTGAATCCAGTCTCTAAATCCATTTGTGGATGCAATTGGGAAACGCTAGCATAGTCGGACTCATATATTACTTTCTTCCTTGGAAAATCACAGTCTTCCAAACTACACACTGGAACAGAAACATTTGACAAAAATGGCTTTATTTGGAACACGTCTATTCCACTTTCTTCAGGTGCTCATGTATCATGAAAAATAGTAAATTTTATGAAAATTCAGTGTCTCCATTTTGGAAGACCTAGGATGTACACTGACCTTTACATTGACCTTTCCAAAACATTAATTTAGGACACAGGTAGTATAACGTTAAGTAAGATTAATACATCAAACGTGGGAAGATTGCTTATGTAATTTCTAAATATTTTGTACCGAACAAATTCTGTTATTTTAATTGATATACACTGGCATAACTGGAGGCAGAATTAATCCTCTTGTTTGTGAAACAGACAGGATTGAGCAGATGAACACAATCTAAAAAGACAAAATCTGCTTCTTAAAAAATATAATTGTGTTATTCCATCATAAATATGGACGTTTATGCATTTCACATACAAAAAAAGTAAGTTGCACACAAAAGTGCAAAACTAAATTTAAATTAAAACATTATTTAAAATCCCAAGGGAGTACACTAAACAAGATTTCAAGAAATACACTTTATTGATAGTATAAATATGAGTGATGGGCTCTTCATAACACTCATCATCCAATGAAGCCAGAAGTCATACTCCAACTAACTTAACTGTGAGTTTAATCAGCTGAGTATCATGCGACCCAACAATTTTATGCTCATTTTATCACTTGTGGTAAGAATACAAATATTTCTGATTAGTGACTCCTTAGTAAAGGACGAAACACAACCTTACACCTTCTGTTACAGTTGAACCAAAAAAAACCTCCAAAAGAATAAACAATGTATTATGAAAAGTGACCTAGGGCCAATTTCTATCATAACAAAGCTATACATAGTCCTAAACATGCTGGGAATTTCCCACTAACTATTGTTTAGACATGAAGGAAAACAGAAGGAACAATGCATTTGATAGTTCATAAATAATGATTTCATGTATTTTCAGAAATAATGGCTTCAGATACTTTTACAGTTCAGAGAACAAGTAAAGAAAGAAACCAGAGTGCTTATCACACAGAAATGTTAGTAGTTAATAAGTACCCGTGTTTCCAAGTGATTAAATGTATCAGAACTAATGTCACACTGGTTTGCAGAATCGCTTATGTGTTTATTTCTAATTATGTTGCTTAACAGCCAGCAGTAAAACAACTCTACTTGCTACCTATCTACTGGAGAGGTGACTACTAATAACTCACAGTAAACTTTCCCAACTACCACAAGGAGACCATGTCAAATTAATGCCAACTCGTAAGGACTTAGGGAAAGCAAGAGATTTGACAATAGCTTAGTTTTTCAATTGCTGCTTACAAAAATACCCAGCTAAGTTCCTGCTGGAAGATAAACAAATATCTCCACATAATGTGTAAAGAATACTAATCTACTCCACCAACTATTCACTTTAATATTAAAACCTGAGGCATCCTTTATCAGGGAGTGTAGTGACAGGACAAAGTGTAATGGTTTAAGCAGAAATAGGGTGGATTAGATTACACATTAGGAAGAAATTTTTTCCTGTGAGGGTGGTGAGGCACTGGCCCAGGTTGCCCAGAGAAGCTGTGGATGCCCCATCCCTGGAGGTGTTCAAGGCCAGGCTGGATGAGGCTTTGAGCAACCTGGGCTAGTGGAGCCAAACCATTCTATGATTTCTATGATTCTATGACATACCATCCTCATATGAGGGCACACTAATGAGGACAAACCATCTCATCAATATTGCTACCAAAAGTTTTCAACTATTTCTCCATTATGTGTACCTCCACCCAGAGCAAAATGTATATATCAAAAAACACTAGGGAAACTAGCATTCATAAACATATGCAGAATACAGAACAAAGTCAAGCCTTTTGGCTACTTTTCTGTATAATTACTATGTAGAACAACACTGAAGCAAAAGGACTAGATAGTGCTAGTGAGTCATCACACACTTCTGCTTGTTTAAACAATGCTGTCTGTGATGGTAGATACTTGGGGTTTAGTCATTTAGTTATTGGTGTTATCCAGGCTATCATACATGAAAGTTCAAACTCTTGTCTGTGCAAAACTCACAGCTAGGAATAAATTTTTACCTGTATTCATTTACACCAGTTAGAATCATTGACTGGTTTGGGTTGGAAGGGACCTTCAAAGATCATCTAGTCCAACCCCTTGCCATGGGCAGGGACATCTTTCACTGGATCAGGTTGCTCAAACCTTACAAGACAACCTTACAAGTTGTCCCAAACCTCACAAGAAAGGCATTATATCTGCTTCCTCCTCCTTTCCTGAGTCTCCATTCTTACCACACATTTTCCACAGCCCACCCTGGTCCAACGCCTCCTTGGCTTTCTCTCCTTCTAAACCTGAGGGACTCTTCCGTCACCTGGGCAAACAATGCTTCAGGTTCAGGGTGAAGAGTCTGCCTTTGTAGTAATACTGTTTCTCTACTGCACTCCCACCTCAGCTCTAAAACACCACTTCTCTCTGACAAGGATCCAAATTACATGTTCTCTTCCTTCCGTCCCTCTCTCCCCCGTCCAGTGCCACCAACATCCTTGCTAGCTCTGGTTTTTTAACTGAGAGGTGGCACTGAAGGACAAAGGGACAGAGGGGGGGAAAGACTGTAACACTAATTAGATTGACGGCTCTTTTTTTAACTGAGAGGTGGAACTGAAGGACAAAGGGACAGAGGGGGGGAGAGACTGTAACACTAATTAGATTGACGGCTCTGTTACTCTATCTCCAGTGCTGTGGGGTGAGAGGGATGCAGTTTGGAGATGACAAATCAAAGGAGAGGCAGTGCTGAAGGTCCAGGGAGGTTCAGGGGTACAACACAGATCACAGTCCGTACTGCAGCATCAGCTCTCCCTCCTCTCATCCCGCTGGCTGTTCCTGAAAGCTGCAGCACCATCTCTTACAGAAGATAAGTACCGAGAGCCAGAAATAGCTGCTCACCGGTTGGGAACTACTCATTTCTATCACTGATAAAAGTATAAAACATAAGAATGACACAATGGACAAGTGTGCAGAATATTCCAAGTTGGTACAATATTACAGGAGCCGAAAGCATACAGCTGTGCAATCAAAATATCGGTCTGAAAACTACATACATGTTTTAACTTATGAATGAATACAGATTAGCAAGATAATGAAATTACACACAGTATATAATGCCAGTTCTTCCTTCAAGGATAAAAACTAAATAAAATGCAGAGAGAGAGAGAGAGAGATTTGATGTACTAAAATAAATTATATTAGAAAGAAATCGGTTTTTGTTGCTCCTTTCTTTTTAATTCCCTTTGAAAACATATTCTCCCTATCATCTTTATATACCATTTTCTTATAGTCTTAGCCTTGAAAATAGTATTTCCAAGCTTTGTGTTGGTCCAAAACTTTATATAGCTAAAGTTCTTATGAAAAATATGAAAAAAAACAGGAAAAATATACATTATTCCTGCATGTTGGCACAGCCAAAATTGCCATGTGACTACCCGATCCTATACCGTTTTCTCCCTGAGGGTTTTCAAAGACATAGTGCTCAATTTAGATTAATGTTACATAAAAAAATCAAATCTGTTACAGCAAGAGCTAATACAAAAATGGGAATTCCCAGCACTTAGGATGCAAAGGCTGCAGTGTTGGTGCAACCACTGCCTGGCCCTCTTCGGTGGAAGAGAAGGACATAACTTTGTTGACAGATACTCAAAGCAATCACAGAATCATAGAAACATTCAGGCTGGAAAAGACCTTTAAGATCATCGAGTCCAACTCTTAACCTAACACTGCCAAGTCCAAACGATGGAGAGCACATCAGAAAAGAGAAAGGGGTAGTACGATTCCTGATTTTAGTGTCCATCTCAATTTGTTTCTTTATTTTTTACCTAAATAAAATTCTCTGATCCAAAATTATTAATAAATGAGCCCTAAAGCCACAATTCCTGCCCTTGCAATAAAATAAGTATGATGGTACATAGCGGGAGAGATTCCCACAGAAACGTATTTTTGTTTCAAGAACTCCAGACTCATTAAACAGAAATTTTACAGAACTTTAAAACATCGAGTAATTCTTCCAAAAATAATATTTTGGTGTGGTTCTTTCCTTTACAGTATCAAAGTAATGTTGTTTAAACTCGACAGATAGAAGGTAATGCTCTTGACTGCCTATTTTTCTGAATCAGATTTGAAAAGCAGCTCACCTCCCAGGACCATACCAGCTTGACAGCACTTCCTCAAGCGACACGCTGGACAGTTCTTCCTACGGATTTTATCGACTATGCAATCATTTCTTCCAGCACATAAATAGTTGTGCTGCCCTGTAGGCAAGAGAAAAACAACATTAACGCCGTGTTTTCTAAAATGACGAAATTATTTCCACGTACAAATATTCAAAAAATAGCAGAGGATTCAAAAAAAGTATATTTGAGCCATTAAAGGACTCCTTCATTTTATGCTAACTTTCAAATAATCATGTGTTACTGCCTAAATATAATAATTTATTTGACCTGTTTAAGAGTGAAACTCCCCACCTACAACATTCCAAAACTAAGTAGCAGACAGTATGAACTGCTTAAATTATTGTACTATCAATATTTCCTAAGCAAACCAAGCATAAGGACAGACCAATTCATTTCTTTCAAACTTAATTTTTAAGTTTTTGTTCCTGATTTTAAAGTAATTAAGTAAATTTTGCTTGGATTGATGTGGAGTTTCCAACAGAAAAGTCAATGAAGAAATTGGGGCAGTACAAAAAAGAGCCCTTTAAGCAGAGTAAGTTACCTCTGATGGAGAAGTTTTGTACTAGACCTGCTGAAATAGCACCTGAACAGACACAGCCAACACAGCCAAAAAGGACAAGCAGAAGAAGGCTGTAACTTTTTTGGTTTAGGTTAACTCTTAGTTTATTGTTCAATTCTGAAAGGACTCGGTTAGGAAGAGCCTGTCATAACTGTATTAAAATTGAAACTTTTTAATGAAATTAGCTTCCAGCAGAGCAAAAAATTAAATTCAGATGATATCCCGACATATTTTTGAACACAAGCTTCAATTATACTTCCAAATTTCACTTGAAGAGAATGATAAAGGTATCTTTTTATGCTTTAGTATAATATTAATAATTTCTGTGATCGATTTTAATTTTGAACAAGTAGACAAAGCTAAGTAAGTACTTAAGTAAGAAAAAAATGAAAGGTAATTTTCACATATCCTTTCAAATTAAGCCCAGGTTTTACCCTATAAGGTTTATCTTTAAAATATTGCCTCTTTGTGCACATCATCCTCTATTCCTTTCTGTATTTTCAGTACCAATATCATAGATGCTTCCTTCATGGAACATTGCTGACGTGGACCTCCAAATACAACAGACATCAATACCAAAACTTTTAAATTTTCACTAATTTCTAGATCTGTATTACTCTGAAATAGCCATCTGATGTCACCAGTAGCAAACAAATGTTATTCTAGTCAGATGCTGTTATTCAGCTTTCTTTCATAACCCTATTCTGTCCTTTCTCTGCACATGGGAAAATAAGCAACTGTTTATCAGTAACTTTTCTCTACAGGAGAAAGACAAACTGAAAACGAATCCACAGATGAAAATGCAGGAGAAAAAACATTCTATTCTGATGAAAGAAAAGAGCTAGTGCTAAACAACGTGAAACAATAATGCATTTGTTTCTGTGCTAACTTTTTTTTGACAATTAATTTACTTCTTACCCATACTTTTAAGAACAACTTGCTTGGTTTTAGTGAAAGAAACCTGATTCCCTGAAACTCATTTTTATAACAGGGTTTTCTTTGTTTAGAAAGCAATGTGTAAATAAAAACAGTTGCCTCATGCATTGCCTGGCATTTTAAAAGCATTTAGTTACACAGTAAATCAGAAGAAATTCTCATTTATGTTCTCCCATTAACTCTAATCCTGGATTCCTTCTCACAAACATTACCAAAAGAAATCTAATGAATAAAAATCTGTCTTGCTTTTGGCAAAAGACCAGGAAGAAAAAGACCTATTTTGAACATGTCTTCACGCCGTTTTCCTGGTCTTGCTTTACCTTTATTTGTAGAAACCTACAAAAGCATTCAGTCTGTCATAGGTAACAACAATTTTAAAACTCTGTTAAACTAAAATCTGTAAAGCATCAGATTATCTCTGCACTGTGGCATTCTGAGGCTTTAATTTACAAAGGAACACTAAAGTTTAGGTTAAATTTATCTACACAACATGGTTTGAGTCCATATAGGCCAAATCCATTGCAAGACCAAAAATGGACTATGTATTTCCAATACAGCAGTAAATGCTCATGGGCAGCTCACAATGCTATAAGCATTCAAGTTGTACTTTTCCACCTATACTGACACAGAAAAATGCTGACCTACCAAAGCTAATGCCATATTGTGAAATATTACTCTTCGAGCACTCCAAAGAAAGAAACACTGTTTATATGCTGTAGAATTATGTCAATATTTAATTCTTTTCTTGATATCAGTATGTGATTTGCATACTCAACACCCAAAGTGCATGCTCTAACAGTTAAAGGAAGCTAAGGAGTTTGGGTAGAACTAGTAAGGGCAACGTGGTTCCTCCTGGAACAGGAAATTATCTGGAAAAACAGAAGTTTTATACTGATAAACATTTAAATACCTTGTGCTATTTATATAATAGTGTTTAAATATTATGCGTCTAAGAGCAAGCATTACAAGTCAAAGGTGTAATATATTGTAAAATTTTATATTTACAGTTACACGTTAAGTTTAGCTACAGCTCTCACAAATCTCTTCATAACTTAGGGTTTACCAGTAGATCCAACTTCTACTTCAATGGAAAATGTATGAATTACTTTGTCATGACATAACAACTCACAAACTGATTAAAATCCAAGACTGAACAAAATCTTTCACATTTGCAGAACAAGTTCTAAATTAACCACAATTATGAAAACTACTCTTCAATGTTCACGTGTTCTAGAGTTTAAGATTAGCCAGGATTAAATTATATCTCTGTCCAGTGCATACCATGGAAGACATGAAGAAATGAAGTCTGTTCTCAGAGTTTAGGCACAGTAAGAATTTGCTTTAATCTTCAAAAAGTGAGTATTATTTCATTATTATTTATTCATAAACTGTATTTTAAAATCCAATAATGACCAATGAGCTAATCTTTATTATGTCTTTACCTAGTTTATTTCTACTATAAACCCTCAGTGATACTAGCATTAAAAAAAGAAGAAAAAAAAAAGTAAAAACCCATGCCAACCCAACTCTTCCATGACATTACTATGACAAAAACTCAGGCACTTCTTGATTCTTACTGTCAACCACTTCCTTATTTTCAGGACTATAAAAAAGCCACAGTCATATCCTGAGCTTGAACTACACCTTCATGCGAGTTTTCCACTCCCCTCACCTCTATCCAATCTCTCCCCAACACCTCCCATCCCAAAGTGTACTCCGTCCACTCTGATTAAGCTGTAACTTATTGGGGGAACACACAAAGTTCAATTATATAGTATTTTTCATACTCTCATCTGTCAGGGATTTTTTTTTTTATCTCAGTCACCTGATTGGATCTCAATACCTATAGATAAAATTGAGTCAATGTTCTCATCTGAAACCATTTCTACCACTGTGCAGAGCTGGGTTCTAAGAAACTGCTACTTGCTTGACATTAAGTGGCAGCAACCATCTGATGGACAGATTGTGTAAGAAATCGAAAACATGACAGATATTTGGTTAATTTCAGAATTATGGGACAATATTTAGTTAGATGAAGCTATCTGGAATGTTTTAATGGGATAAAACACTTATTTGAAAATGCATTTGCTGTATCTCAGTCTTTAGGATCATCTATATTTTAACTGATTGGCTCCAATATGTGAGCATTGCAGTTACATTAAATACGTGTACTAATGAAGTATCCAAAGACCCCATCAAAATAAAATTCCTGTTCAAATGGTAGCTTGTCATTCAGTATCTTTTATATGACTACTCTTACTATAACCAGGAAAAAACCCGGAAAAAACAGGATAGTAGCCTAATCACTAAAGCACAGGTCAGAAAGTAGATTGATATTTGTGTTTCTTACAAAAATATAAATCTGGCAACTTTCCAGCAACTGCCGCTTTCTTGGAAGTCTTCACCCAGTGTTAAGCTTCCTATAAATGTTTACTTTTCACCTCTTTTTGAAAGTGCAGTGTAGCTCTCTCTCAATATATCAATGCATCAGCTTGTGACCTAGATTTGACTGAGAATATGTAAAAAATACAGAGACAATTTCATCTGTTACTCATATGTTCCAGATCTTATAGGATAGCTTTTTTCTTAACCTCCATCAAAGTCCTTTTGTGTTAGCAAAGATGTAAGTCCTAATGCAAACAAGCAAATACAATTTTAAGTACTGTACTGACTATTGCTATACTGGCAGGTTTACATGAGAAAGTGGCTGAAGTGCTAATGGCCTACACACACAAATACAGTCACATGTTTTGCTATCAGTAAAGCTGCACAGATCATACTCCAGCACTGAGAAATTTTAATCCAAATACTGATGGAAGTAGCACGCACAGCGTCTTTAAAAACTGCACTACTAACTTAGCTCACTGACACGCTAAAAGTCACCTAAAATCACTGAAGTAAACTAATGAGTTCCAGAGATTTTGCAGATTTACAAAATACAGAAAACATTAAGGCTTATCTGCACCAGGGGTATCAGATGCAAGCAATGAGTTATTTGTGCAACAGCATCTGTGCTGAACTGCTGCCACCCTGCACAAAAGCAAAGCACTTGTTTACAAACTCTCAGGTCCTCCTGTCTGCAAATAAAAGTACTTTTACAAATCCTTCTCTCTGCCACATGTGATTCTGCCTCCCTGTATCAGTTTAAACTGGCAACACTTTCTTGTAAAATCATACTATCCCCACCACGGAAGGACTGTTCTTTGCAAAACATACCAGTTTTATTGAGTCTAGTTTGAGTTTTCTGTCTAAAAGCTGCAGGTATCTATTACATCTTTTTGTAAATTAATTTATTGCCAAATGTCTCCCCATGTCAACTTTTTTGCTTCCTGAGAGCTAGCCTACAAATTTTGCACAATAATTTACTGCCAATACGCTTTACTTCTTATAATATTCAAAAGTACCAATCAAATCACTAGGTTTAAAAAAACCAAAGGAATTACTCTTTTACCATAACTAAATTTGGAACTCTTTGCCAGGCGTTCTTGTGGAAGCCAATAACAGACATGGTTTCACAAGAAACAAAATGGAAAAGAGGTCACCTGTACACCTGTACTGAATAGATGTAGCTTTTCAGTAAAAC